GGGGGGGGGGGGGGGGGGGGGGGGGGGGGGGGGGAAGGTGTTAAAACCACCGAATCCATGCTTTCTTCATTTTTTTGTTTTTTTTGTTAAGGTCCATGTTGTAGTAGAGGGTGGATGCTAGGCCTGGGGAGGTGCCCGTCCTTGTACTCGACCAGTGAGGGGATCAGATGGCGTGTGCCAACCCCAGGGATAGTCTTTCTCCAAGGGGGGCATCACTTGTGACCTGTTATATTCTAGTCTTATCGCAAGTCCAGCCCTATAGCGGTGCGATCCAGACCTCTCTATCTAGACCTAGACCTACACCAACCCGAGCCTTCAAAGGCGCACAGACACGTCTCCCTGGACGCTACCATAGGGACACCCACAGCATGAATATAGCACACGTGGGGCCTGCCCTGTAGATGAACAGCAAAGGCATCAGCCCCCGAGACAATAGCATCAGCAAAAAAGGCCTGAGAGAATCGTTAACAAGGTCAATAGGACCCCAGCCCAGCACACTGCTCCTTCCATCTGATGACGACCTGCACCGGAAAGAATGACACTTTGACAAAGAGGATTACGAGTCGAAGATTGCGAGGTTGAGAAAAATAAAAATAAAATATTGTCATCCTGTAGACTCTCTGCGAGACATCCACTTGGACAGAAGCAGGGAGCGAGTTTCCATATCTGTCAGCATTGCTGATTCCGCCGCGCCATTGTAGACGAATTATTCCAATCCTACAAAACTGTCCAAAATAATAAAAGCTTGCGAGACATCGAATTTGGCTGGAGCTCAAGATAACGGTTCCCAGCACATGTTGCTCCGCACGAATAGACTGGAGCGTTTGGTTCAAAAAAAAAAAAAAAAAAAAATCAAAAGTAGATGATACCCGTCATTCGGGACATCCGTTAAAATTGGAACGATACACATAACATTAGCAAGGCTCCTGCATAAGTATTATTAAGAAAAGGGAGTAGGGATAAAGGAATTCAAAAAAAAAAAAAAAAAAAAGATGATACCAGTTGAGTTCTGCATGCATACCCATGGGCCATTACACATCATTCTCCACTGCAGACTGTGAAAGTTGTGTTTTTCGATTCTAAAACTCGCGAGCTTGCCAGACATGTCCTTTGCTTGTAGTCGAAGACAAGAAGATCATCAAAAGTAAATGCAATCACACAGGTTCTGCGTATCCCATGGGCCATGACACATCACCATCCACCAAAAGCAATACGTCATTTCAATCCTTCTTCACTGCACTGCACGATCATCCCAAAGTCTGGACACACGCACGCTCGCTAGACAAGTTCTTTGACTTGAGAACAAGATAAACCGATTCCAGCCAGCCAAGTTGCGCTCGGTCATGGCGCATCATAATCCACTGAAAGCTTTATTGCAGAACGAGAATCTGACAGCTGCGTCACTTCACAGTCTGTCTTAACACTTGCTAGACCATACACAGACCCAAAATCACATGCTCAGCCCATCTCCACCCATCCTGAATACACCCTCCAAAGTGATCAGCAGGATTGATTAACAGCAACAAAGAATCAAACTACATGATGAAACACTTACTTCATAGACGTGTAGCCACTAGTCGGTCGCAGCCCACATTGGCATTACCACCACAACATGAAGATGACCTCCACTTGCTTCTGCTCAAAGAACCAAGGACAGAATCATGACCCACCATGACCATCACCCTCACCCCCTCCGCATATTCCCGACACCCCTACAACCGCCGATTTGACCATCACCCTCACCAGTACCCTACGAAACCATGGTCTGCATCTTCGCTGTGAAGATAACCAGACTTTTTAAACAGGTCCATCACCTACTATCACCCAACACCACTGATACTCGAAGAAGTCGCAGTCTATTATATCTTCCGTGTGAAGATAAACCAGACTTCATAATTTCGTATAAGCAGGTCGCTCTTTCTCTTCTCCGCAGCATCTTTTCGTCCCTTGAATCCAGACGACAGGACAACTTCACGCACGCACTCCCTCTTACTGCAACGAGGCACCTGATCACAAGATCAATTTGCTCATTTTGAATACGATATGTTTAAACTTGCACGAGCGATTTGACCGTGTCATACAGTCAGCTACCACTGTGCTGTACTTCTGCTTCCTCACCCCGAGTGCTACGTTAATCCTCATATAAGGATACAAACGCAAAGAAGAGAAAAGAGTGCTTATCTGAACTGCATGCCAAATCGACAGATGAAAGGTTACTGGCAGCCGTCATCACAATCCTCTACTGCAAGAGACATTTAAACAAGCAGGTCAACCAGAGATAGTATGCTCACCTCCATAACCATCTCCTTGCACTCTGGTTCAATGGAACTGGTCATCATACAATGGCCACGTGAAAGTGCCGCTGCCAGTCCGAAGTCCATCACTATAGCAAGCACGGGTGTTGAACATAAGATGCAAGCTGTACCTTCAATCACCAGGGGAACAATGACTGTACTCTCCAAAGAACCGATCCGTCCCATGTTGCAGGTCAGCCTTCTGACAGCACAAAAAGATGTCTTGTCTGCAGGTCAGCCTTCTGACAGCACAAAAAGATGTCTCGTCTGCTGGCCACACCATGTTGCAGGTCAGCCTTCTGACAGCACGAAAAGATGTCTTGTCAGCTGACACACCATGTTGCAGGTCAGCCTTCTGACTGTACGAAAAGATGTCTGCTGGCCACAATATGCAAGTCCTTAACGCCGCTGCAGATTTCTGATCACGGCAAGAGAAACCCTAGACAAAATTGAGGCAACAGACGTGAGTCGCTTGGCCCAATTTCCACAGTCAGTCCACCCTCAATGACAGTGAAAGCGGCATGCCAGTCCGTCTTACCTCCCTCTCTTCACGTCTTCGCCCTCTTGCATAATCCTGATGTGGCCACACCTCATTTTCTGAATTGCATGCGTCACCATTTGCTCAAAAAACACTGCCATGGCTGTGGTTCCTTCCCTGAGAAAACATCATGATGCAGTAATCTTCAGCTGTTGCCGCAACCGGCTGCTCAACTGCTTCCATCTCTTGGCGTTTTCTGGATTCACGAACCTGTTGTAAAACAATCAGTATCTCCATTTTCACTCGTACTCGGCATTCCTAACCCCAATACTAAGAGAACACTGCCCTGTCCCCAGTGTCCCTTTCTATAGTGGTGGGTGCGCGGATGCATGTATGGTGGCTGTGTCGCTCTGTGGCTGTTCGGGCTTGTGCCCTTGAGGCAGTGAGGGTGTGATGGTGAGATTGTCCTAGTCCAACAATGGTGCACGAGTTTTACGACTCGTCATTTCTAAACGCTCACCTCACTCCTTGCCTCTCTCTTTCACCCAAAAGAATTTCCTTAATTATAACGAAGGGAAACATGTGGAATAACTCGCGCATTCACTGAATCCCAGTCAAATGACATTATCAGAAGAAAAAAAAAAGAATACTCTACAGGGTCAACCACTCGTCAAATCCCAAAGGAATTCAAAGTTGGCATCACTCCACTGAACGCCAAGATATGGTCAATGGGGTGAGACATTCCTACAGCTACTGCTAGTAGAAAATGGTGACGAATGCCTGTCTTGTCTTGCCCTATTTCCTTCCCTGCAATGTTCTTGTGCATCGAAAAAGTAAACTCATCACAGCAAAAGTTCTTTTCATGTGCAAAAAAGAGAAAAAAAATAAAAATAAATAAAATGAAGACGCTTCCAATCAGTCACCCAGTCACAAATACAGACATCTACTTCAGAGGTCCCTGATAGGGTCCCTGATAGGGTCCCTGATCCTTGCAAGCAACTACAAGAATGGAGGTACAAATTGAATGGAAAACGGAAATATAAGGAAAAGGCCTCCCTCCACTACCACTTACCTCTAGACCTACCCTGTTACCAAAATGCACAGCCGATCAACAAAGAGAACATGCCGATCAACAAACCCTTCTGAAAGAAAAGGTCGGCCCCTGACAGCTGGGAGGGCGGAAAGAAATTGTTGCCTGACACAACCTGTGTTCTGCACAAAGAGAACATGCCGGTCCACACGTGTAAGTAAAGGCAAGAGCACCAAAGTGGGGACAGACGCTGAAAATCGAAACACATCAGTGCATCTCTTTTCATGGCTCCTTACTAATAAACCAGGATGCATCGATACAGGGGGGTGGTTGATCACCTCTCCATGCAATTCAGAAAGATCCCAGCATGCGCTCTTTCCGAGAGAAACTCCAAATGCCCAAAGAGAAGCAGGAGCTCATCCTTCTGAGATTACTGATAGCGATCTGAGCAAGAGAGAGAAAGAGAGAGAGAGAGAGAGAAGATAAACAGAGAGCTTATGACAGCCCTTAACAACTGATGACAGGTCCCGTAGTAGACTAAGAGGATCTCCAAGCAGGAGGACATTGCAAGAGACTAGACATAACGCCCATCGTGGCAACATCAGACCATCATCGAGATGGTTTGCTGATGTCCACATTCCTAATAGACGGAAGAAGCATGGGAAACATTAAATTCCTCAATTCAAAAAAACTACACAAGCGAACAATCAGCTCAAATCAATGCTCTTACCAACGCTTTTGCCAGTCCTGCTGCTGGCTGGGTGCTACGGTAGCTTTCAAAAGACGATGACCGTTTCGTAACTCGATCACGCCAGTAAGCTCGAGAGAGACTTCTCAATCACGCTTGCAAGATCCGGAGATTCTCCGGAACCTCGAGACCTTTGCTCCACAGTCTGGAATCGAGAAACGCCTTCACAAGTCTGGCACTGCTTCAACTTCCCCATCAGCTTCCCTCTCCTTGCTCTGCCTCTCCCCATTGGTGGAATGCTATGCAACAGTTTCCTTGCACGCAGTATCACACCTAAGGCTTCGCGTTTGGAAGCTTGTTCCAGACCAAACGCCTTCACAAGTCTGGCACCGCTCCAACTTCCACATCAGCTTCCCTCTTCTTGCTCTGCCGCTCCCCATTGGTGGAATGCTATGCAACAGTTTCCTTGCATGCAGTATCACACCTAAGGCTTCGCGTTTGGAAGCTTGTTCCAGACGAAACGCCTTCACAAGTCTGGCACCGCTCTAACTTCCCCATCAGCTTTCCTCTTCTTGCTCTGCCTCTCTCCATTGGTGGAATGCTATGCAACAGTTTCCTTGCATGCAGTATCACACCTAAGGCTTCGCGTTTGGAAGCTTATTCCAGACCTGCCAACTCCGTCCTCCCATCAGGCCCCCACTGAGATCACCATGGAGACCGACATCAGCATGCAGTCAACATTCAGGAATCTCGTCAGCTCAGCAATAACTTCGTCCTTTCCTTGACCGAGGCCATTACACCGCACAACAGACTGCAGGTGACATCCGTTGCTCAAGCGACAGTGACAGAAATAGATTTCAGTGGTCACTGAGGTGCCACTTCCACTTCCACAGGCTAGCACACAAAGTGCACAAGTAACGCCCCATCGAGAATCGACCAAACTCGATTTTAAAAGATCACACGAACAGCAGCAGCAGCCGCCCGTTTGGCAAGGTGTCCATTTGGCAAGGGCTTCATCACGAAGAGATCAAACGTATCTGCCAAGGAACTATTACAGGAACAACAAAGATAGCGCTAGCTTGTTCTTGTTCACTCATAAATGCCGTGATAGCCCTGGCTCATAAACCAATTCAGACAAGTTATCACAAGATCTGTGTGTAGGATGCGTACTTCGAAAAGGTTGCTCTCACAAATGGTCCCTGGAAGGAGACCACCGCCCCAAAATGCACCACACGCAGGCACCACCCACCCCCTTTCATACCATCCACATTCAAGAGAATTCTCATCCGTTGCTGAAACCGACAACCATCTGTTGAACGAGACTGTGCCCAGGGCACGTCGTCCATGGCACTCTCCCAGTGCTTCCTTCGGTAACGACTGATGTTCTCTCTCTCTCTCTCTCTCTCTCTCTCTCTCTCTCTCTCTCTCACACACACACACACACACACACACACACACACAAACCSACAACCATCTGTTGAACGAAGACTGTGCCCAGGGCACGTCTTCCATGGCACTCTCCCAATACTTCCCTCGGTAATGACTGACGTAATCTCTCTCTCTCTCTCTCTCTCTCTCTCTCTCTCTCCATCCATCCAAACGTCCCTTCGGGATAACTTCTTGACATCAAATGAACGACAAGAGTAATGAATACGAATGTGGAGACCAGGCGGGCACCCCAATCTACCTGCACGGAGAACAGCGGCCTGTCGCACACGAGAATCCGTCCTGTCACCCACGAGAACCCATCCTGTCACCCACGTGAGCCCGTTCCCCGCTTACCCTTACAGTCCTCGTCCCTGTAATTCCCTTCCACCGCGTAACACGTGAATCGCTAGATGGCACTGCTGCGAGACCTACCGGCGGCAGATATATCAACTTCCGTAGACAGCATATTACAACGAAAAAAGGACTGTGTAAGAGAAAGCATCCCATGTTCACATGTGAGGAGTTTTTTATCACCATCGTCAGTCAACTCCACGGTTCTGCCGTCTGTTGATGTTGTTCTGCATCCGCCAACGCAAGAGCCATGGCCCGAGCTCGGGCTCTGGTCATTGGAGAGGAAGTGACAGACGACAGGGTGATCTTGGAAGATGCATCCTCGGAGAGCACAACTGCGCTCCTTCGCGGACGTCCCCTGCGTGCACTGGCGACCTTGGGTGTCAATATTCCACCTTTGGGAGACAAGATGTTTTTCCTGGGCGACGAGGCAGCCGGTTTGCTCGATCTCGTTGGCTGGTGGCCATCGGCCATGACGTTCCTCGGTGAAAGAACACCGTTGGGCACCTCACCGAGTTCCCCCCCGGCCCCGCCCCATCCCTCGTCCATCAGGGAGCGGGAGGAGTTAATAATCTCGCGATAATACGAGCGCGTTCTAGGCCCACTCCTCGACTTCGTGGACGATCTCAGACCACTACGCCTCCCAGGGGAAGTCACTTCGTATTCCCTCTCCCCACCACCCCGTTCTTGGCTATCCCGACCGTCGGGCGAGCTGACAGAATTGGCACCTTCAGACACATTGGGAGGGAGAGGAGAGCGATCGCGACCCCGATCCGCCATGATCATCCCACCGTCCCACGCAAACCCTCCTTCATCATTAGGTCCCATCTCCTCCGCTACAAACGCTCCTTCTGAGATCTCGGCTGGCTCCTCTCCCTCCGGGGAGAATCCGGCATCATCGATTGACCGACTGGAACGCGTGTACGCCCTCACTCGCCACGTCAGCCAAAGAGAGCATAGGATTCCAAGACTAGGCATTGCGAAAGGCGCTGCGCGCTGAGCAAGGCCTCGCAGCCCATCCAACTCCTCCTCCTTCACCGTCATTGCCTCCGGTAAAGACAGCGAGAGACCGATTGACGAAGCCAAGCTGCCCAGCGACGTGTTCTGGACGATCATCGGGATACCTCCCGCGAGTGTCGGCAGCAGGAAGTCCCTAAAATATCTTACGTCCGTCATCGCGAGAGCATAATTGACAAAGTATGAGGGGAGTGGTGAGAAGCGCGCGAACAAAACAAACCTCCAGCCATCACGAGCCACGCCCTCTCGAACTACTCCGAAGTACCGATTCCTCTGAACTGTTTCCCCTAGCCAGCTCCAATTGTGAAGAATCAACCTGCGTTCACAGCCCACAGGACCACCATCAGACAACCATCAGACCATTCATTCATTCGTTATTAAACTCCACTCGGTCAGTGAAACTCCCTACTCTACGTATTCGTCATTTGATTCCATAACAGAGTTCATTCAACCTTCCAACATCCACAGACACGCTGCTACGATGGCCTCAGGAAGACGGACAGATGGTCATCACCAAAGCAAAGACAAAAAAGATCAACAGACACGCTGCCACGATGGCCTCAGGAGAACACCGCTCAACATCTCGGACAGATGGTCGTCGACAAAGCAAAAGACAAAAAAGATCAACAGACACGCTGCCACGATGGCGTCAGGAGGACACCGTTCAACATCTCGGACAGATGGTCGTCGACAAAGCAAAAGACAAAAAAGATCATCAACTCCAACAGATAAATTCGAAAGAGCAAAACACAAAATGATCGAGTACAGACAGCAGAACAGAGGCTCTGATGGTTTGAACAAGCCAGCCGACCCAACACCGATCCCTCAAGATAATGAGTGGAAAGCCAAGATAGAAAACGATAGAAGTCCTTCGGAACATCCGTTAACAAGAACGAGACAGAGAAGACTAGCATGGCCCCTGTACAAGGACGACACGCATAAATCGAGAAACGGTGAAAATCATTAAAAAAAAAAAAAAAAACAAGACAGGATAAAAACACCCGAAGACACGCGCACGAAAAAGAGATGCGCAAGAAAACGACCGACAATGCACACGAGCTAATATAAGAGTACACCATCGACAGATCAAAAGAACGGAGAGGAGAAGACAGGCGCGCCGTAGCTACAGGTAGGTTAAAATAGGAGAGAGAAACCAACGAACATAAAAAATGTACATTGTTCTGTCAAACAGCCAAAAGACCTTTGCCACGAACCAAACAAGAATTCGCTGTCGGCGCAGCAGCTCGACGTTTTCCAAAAAAAGAATAGGACAAAAAAAATGCGCAGGCAAGTGGGGACGGACTAGCCCCTTGAAGAAATCCATCTGAAAAAAAAAAAAAAAGCGATCAGTGTCATATTTATCTGGCATGAATAACGCCCCTATGCGGCTTTAGGCCTAATACTTCTCCGACAAAGAAACAAAGAGCAGAAAGGTAGCACTAAGAACTGTTGGGGAAGAGCACCCGCACGCGCGGGGGGGAAGGAGAGGGAAGGAGAGCGAAGGAGAGGGAAGGCATAATGTTCAGGAGCAAACGGAAACAAGATCCGTCAATGAAAACCCATCAGCAGTACCTCTGTCCGCAAAGTTGGATCTGAACAAAATCACCTTCTACGCGTTAAGTACTTTCTGAACGACGACATCGTCGTACTCTCTTTCCTCTGCCTTTTTCCCTAAGAAAAAGAAGAAGCACGGAAAACTAAATTATGATTCCCCAATCGACACGTGAATCGGTGAGATTACTACATCGCTCACTGCAGACAAAGACCCGTGCAGAAAATCAAACAAAGAGGAAGAGGGAGAGAAAGAAGTTTACTCGGATTACTAAATCGCTAACTGCAGACAAAGACCCGTGTGCAGAAAATCAAACAAAGAGAAAAAGAGGAAGAACGAAATTTACTCGAATGAAAAAGAACCAGTCTTAAAAACAAAAAATTACATCCTCAGATCTCTCTTTCTTTTTCGTTTTTCTTTACTCGGATGAAAAAGAACCAGTCTTAAACGTTTTTCTTTACTCGGATGAAAAAGAACCAGTCTTAAAAACAAAAATTCTATCGTCGGATCTCTTTTTCTTTTTCGTTTTTTTTTTTAAGCAAAAAGACGCAGAGAAAAAGAAACATTCGAAAAGAAAAAAGTTCAGAATATTTCAAAAAGAAAGCGACACAGAGATAACGACGAAACATCGAAACATTCGCGGGGAAGGAAAACGACGCCAATCACAGAACCGAGGGCAAACTGTAGGCGACGATTAACATCACAGAGCGGCGACGATCGACGACCCACGGATGATGGACTATAGATACCACATTCTAAATAATAGATATAACATATCACATGAACATTTTTTCAACGTCCCCGGGAAACCTATCTCCCTTTGAGGAGATGACAAGCAAGAAAAATGCTCGACGCGAAGCACCACGTTACAAATACAAAGAAGGAGATGCAGAACGACGAAGACAAAACCACAAACAAAAAAAGACCCTCGAAAAAATGTTGGCGAGAGAGCGCTCAGAAAACCCCTTACGCCAAGCATCAATTAGCTTTTGCGGGGAAGGGAGATGAGGCCGCTGGGGCCGAAACCAGCGTCCGTCGCTATCTTGCAAAAAGTACCGTGGACCAACAAAAAACGGGCGGGAGAGTATAGCAGAGAAACGATTTGTATGGGTTTAAGATCCAACCCCCCCAAGGGTTTCTTCTCACTTGCTGGCAACTTGCGAGCGTGGCTTCTCATTCTTAAACCACCAGTACTTGGCCCAGTTATCCGCCGTGGAGAAAAGTAGAGTAGAAACGTTTCTAGTCGGATGAAACTGGGCGCGCTCCTGTAGTGGCCCGTACGTTTCCTAAAATAATTGTGGCTCATTAACGGGCACAACTTTAGGAAGTACTGGTGGTTGTTAGAATACACCTCACCTTGCGCGGAGTGAAGGAGCAGAGCAACATTGCAAGTGGTCAACATACATCAAAACATACATCACGAACAGAAGTCCACAACCAGGAACCCACAAACAGAAAACGGAGGCAATAAACAGAAAACGATAAGCCTAAAAGGAGAAGAAAACAGAGAAGACAACACACGAACGACCTCAGCAACCGGGCATTCGTTAAGCATATACAACCACCAAATACAGAAGAAGAGAAAAGTGGTTATCATAATCGACTGACAACGAGCAAAGATCGGAGAGCACTAGCAAACAGTCACAGACAGGAGACGAGGCGGGGGGGGCGGGGGGGGGAGGAGGGGGAGGGGGAGAAGGAGAGAAAGCTCAACAGCAGACCATTCGTAAGCGCAACGGCAGTTCTCCACACATGTATCACAGGCAAAAAATAGCAGTCCTCTTGTTCAGGCAGTTAAACAGAGAAACAAACGAGCTGCGTTCAAAGAAGAGAGGTCAGTATCAGGAAGCGATACTGCCTGAGCAGACATGAACTTACAATGCCCTAATCTTAACTACCAGAGCGCAGATGCGCCAAACGTAAAAACGGATAGAGGGGAGGGCGGGGAAGGAGGGAAAGGAGGGAAAGGAGGAGGCAGGATCGGACAATCAAAGCACCGGTCCACGAACAAACGCGCTGCGTTCGAAAATAGATTTCGAGAATCGCGTTCGAAAATAGATTTTTAAGAATCGCATATCCTCAGCGTAGCCTTAAATTGCCAGAGGTCACCAGGTCAGTGGACGCTGTAACAGAAAACCATCGCCGCCTTCGCCCCGCGCAGACCACTGACGAAACCTCAAATCACTAGGACCAAAATAGATCACCCGCCACCAGCCCACAGGAGAGTGCAGAGCATAGCGACACATATACGTAATTAAACGACATCGAAGAGAAGAGGCCATCTTCCTCGGCGCATTCAGACCTCGAACAATAATAACGATCCGAATGAAACTCAGCACCAATGACGAAAAGAGCGACAGGGAAGGCTGGAAAACAGGAAGGAATTGCAAATTCTGTAAATGCGCGATTGATGAACAAGGAGACGCCAAGTCACACAGTTGACAGACAACGACTGATTGATAGAGGAGGCAGAAACTTGGGAAAAAAAACGCAAATAACTGCGATTGATCAGCCATGATGTTGATGACAAGTGCGAAGCCCTTAACCAAGTAATGACCAGACAACGACAGACGCAAAGAGAGGAGACCTCGCGCTACGGCAAGAGCGCCAGCCAGGCATTAATTCTGTATAACTAACGAGCTGCAGTGAATGAATTCAACCCGCCTCAGGCGTGGCTTCCCGGACTTTGGCCTTCGACCCAAACCGTGAGTAATCAGAGTAAGCAGAGATGAGATCGAGATCCGTTCTAACGTCATGACAATGTACTCTTTTCCAAGGCTGATGGCACGCTTTCCCAGTAGGTAGTAGTATACATACAGTTTTCTCCCCCTTTCTTGGGGTACAGGACGGCATAAAGGCAACAAGCAGAGGGTCTCGAAACGAGTGAAGGCAGAGAGGAAGGAAGAGAGGAAGGCGGAGAGGAAGGCAGAGAGGAAGCCAGACAGGCATGACAGGACTACCTCAGGCGTGGCTTCCCGGACTTTGGCCTTCGACCCAAACCGTGAGTAATCAGAGTAAACAGAGATGAGATCGAGATCGGTTCTAACGTCATGACAATGGACTCTTTTCCAAGGCGGACCAAAGGATCGATACGTTTTACGTAAGCCCTATGAACGACGATCAGTTAACTTTCTTTCCTACTTGTTCAAGACGCGATCAGTTTCTTCAATACAACCGGAATAAACAGGAATCAGCGAAGTTCAGACCTGTGTGCTTCCCTGTCCAAGTCGGCTGATGGCACGCTCTCCCAGTAGGTAGTGGCCTACATACAGTTTTCTCCCCCTTTCTTGGGGTACAGGACGGCATAGAAGGCAACAAGCAGAGGGATTCGAAACGAGTGAAGGCAGAGAGGAAGGAAGAGAGGAAGGCAGAGAGGAAGGCAGAGAGGAAGGCATGACTGGACTACCTCCACCCGATCCAGCTGTGGAGAAGTGGGCGGATCTCTGAATAGAGTGACACTACCCTCGACCGTAAGGAGCCAACAGGAAGCTGAGATCAAACTCAGGGTAACAAGAGAAAAGCAGAGGGTGCACTCTGTATGCCAACCCCTAACGCCGATCAGTTGCTCATTGACTGAAATGAAAAATCAAGAAGTGAACCAGTCCTCAGTCCTCTTCCCTGAACAAGACGACGACCGATTTCACGCTTTTTCCTCGGATTCCTCCATTGTTATACACACTTATCTTGCCCTTCTTGGCGTACATGTGGGTAGAGAAGACGGCACGTGAAGGTATGCAAAAGGAGTGACAGACGCGACGGAACGACCTCTAGGTCGCAGAGGCTGGAACAGAAAGTCCAAAATACATGCTTCGCCATAGCTCCAGATGGACAGACGACATCTCAGGACAGGCAAGCCCAGAGCATATTGGCTGATCGAAACAGAAAGTCAAAAATACATGCGTAGCCATAGGTCCAGATGGACAGACGACATGAAGACATGCGTGAAGCGATAGGAGTGTCCCTTGAGACACACAAAAGACTTAGGGGGATCGCGAGGCGTACAGGCATTTAGCTAGGTGGCCGATGAGCGAGCGATCACGACGAACCTGATCATACGAGGCGCACAGGTGGCGATTGTGCGGTTCAAATACAAGAGGGAGGGAGGGAGGGAGGGAGGGGTTATTCAGGCAGAGTGCAATATCTCCACCCAAGAAATGAGCCAAAGGCGGGCAAAACAACATCCCTGGTAAGACAGACATGCTACACGCGCACAAAACAACATCCCTGGTAAGACAGACATGCTACACGCGTGAGATCATGAGGGGCGAAGGTCCGAAGACGGAAATGGGGGAATGTGATATTCCTGGCATTTACCAAGAGCACATTAACCACTACCTACCTTATCAGAGATGGGAAGAAGGTGAAAGGGTCAGGCAATGGCAAAGCAACAGTGAGCTAGAAAGAGAGGCAGTACGGCACGCAGGTAGGCAAGCACAGTCAGACGAACGGTGAGCAGTTATATTCGGAGACGGCGGCGAGACAGGCAGGCATGCAAACCGTGAAAGAAGGTCAAACAGGGCCGCAAAGCAGAAGAGAAGCGGCGCGAGCGAAAACGGCAAGCCAGGGGGAGTAAGAGGCATAATATTAAGTGCGGCAAATTCAGAAACGCGCAGCAAGGCGTCGGGAGGCAAACACAGAGGCAGAACATTATACCCCTGGCACACACGAAGGGAGTCAGACGGGGGACACACGGGTCGCTGGCATATTCACTCACCGTCCCAACCAGAAGGACAAAGACGCAGCACAAGCCTTGGCCACGATCACGCAGATGATTCCTCTCCACAAACCAAAGAGTAAACCTGCGCCGGCCTCGAAAGCAAGCGTGTAGGGGAAACAAGCAGCTATTGCAGCAGTATGAACTGCGATGTAGGCGGGCAAAGCCCAAACCCCAAGAGAAGCCAGGCGCTTCTGCGTTGCCTCCACAAGCAACTGTGCTTGTTCCTTGTCAAAGTAGTAATAGCCCACTGCTGCTACCAGCGCGACAAGGGCCGCCGCTAGCAGCGATCCTGTCTTCGACATCTCTGAACAAGCAATTCAATACCTCGGCGGAAATAAGTCAAGTTGTTATAGACACCGAGGGCTGCGTTCTCAACCGCATCGGAAGGAATCTGGGACAATTAAAGGGACGTCGATCAGTCGCTCGGTTGTTGCAGACACGATCACCACGTTGCTCTCTCTCCTTAGCTGCAAGTCCTCCTCAAAGTTTTGACTACCGGTAGCTTCCCTCTCTCTTTCCCCCACCTGTGCCTTTCCCTCAGATGGCTCCTAACGCGTAAGCACTACCTCGATGTCTGCTAGCCCCAGAACAACCTCGTTTCAGACCAAGCAACAACTTTTTCGGCAAAAACGTTAATCTCCTCGTCCTCCCTTCCCTCCTCCTCTTGAGATCAGTTAACCTCACACACCCAGCCAACACGTCACCACTACCTCGCCACCATAGAAACCCCCCGCACAACCTCGTCGCAGACAAAGTAACTTCTTGGCAACCTCTCTCTCTCTCTCTCTCTCTCTCTCTCTCTCTCTCTCTCTCTCTCTCTGTGTGTGTGTGTGTGTGTGTGAGTGTGTGCGTGTGTGTGGGAGTAGGCAATGACCCGCCAACACTTCACAAGGGCCTCCCCACGTGCTGTGCCCCCAAGCAACCTTGTTGCATACGTCCCCTCCCCGTCGCAGCTCACTTGTTTCCTCCTCGTACCTTTCCCACCACAGCTTCTCCTTTGTCCCAGCAGGAACCCCCTCAAGTAAATCGTCAATCGCTTACTCCATTCGTCACCTAGTTGGTCACTCCGTCGATCGAATGCCACGTGCGCCGACAGAGACTGTTTGCCTCGGCAGAACGACCGCGCGCCGCAAATAAGTTGACGAGGCCACCCACAAAGCTCATATAGCAGTCAACCCGCAAGTTGCGCGTAAAAGAGTACAGTGCAGGTGAACGCAGCAACCGAGCGGGAAGCATCGACGATCCAGTCCAGGAATAAAATAGGTCAGGTGGGTTCGGTCGCAACGACGATGAACGCGTCCGCAGGTACTACCGGTTTCGTGCGTTACCCTTCCCAAAACGCGCGTTGGCGAGGCAAGCCGTTTCATCAGCGGTCCTACCAAAACAACACAGCCGCGAAGTGCCAGTGCTCACCCCAGCGGGTGTGACATTGCGCGGGAAAACCGCGAGAGATGACAAAGAGCCGTTCCGCGGACGCGAAATAAAAGAAAAGGACAGCGCTGCTGTGGTTGGCCTGTTGCCGTTTGCGCCACAACCGTGCAGACCGCGTTTGCCAATTGCTTTCATTTTGCACGACATGCAGAAGGCGCAATCGCCAATTGCTTTCATTTTGCTTTTTTCCTGCTTTTCTTGCTTGCATTTTCCTGTTCATTCTTGTTTTGTCCCGCCCACAGCGGGAGCACGGTAGCTGACAAAGGACCAAACTAGCCCCGTCGACTTTCAGAAATCCCAAAGTAGCTTATAGCTTATATTGACTTACCGCTACCGGTAGTAGGGCGCCTGCGCGCCCACATAACCCGTAGGCTGTACCGCGACCTGCCGGGCGGATGGATGCTCACGAGGACAGAGGAGGGTAACTCGGCCTTGAGCCAAGGCATACTCACACTAGGACCTTACGTCCAAAAAGTTATACTGTGTGTATGCACCGTGCTAACGGCAAGGGGAAATGAAATGAGAACATGTTGCAGAGACTCTTCCCCCCCCTCAACTGTTCAGTTTAGTATTATGTTAGTCTGCCCTACGTGCTTGGTGCAGTTGCACGGAGCGAGTGCACAAGACACACGGGTGTGTCATCTTTTTTTGTTCTTTATGGTTCCGTCATATGTGAGGCATCACCAAATCGGAATGCTCTGCAATCTTTCACCGTATGGATTTTCGGATATTTCAACAACTTCGTGCATGGGTCTTTCGTAGACACCCTACCTGGGGTTGACAAAGAATCAAGCATAAGTACTTCCCTGGGAATCAAACTTGGCTTGGTTTTCACGGTAAAAAATACCAAGACAATTACATGTCCAAGGCCACGAAGTGGCAGCGGCGCCAGTTATGATATGAGGAGATGATGTTATGGTAGGTGAAGGAGGCGTAGGTAAGGCTATGCCCCCCACCGCACGCACCTCTCCCTTGATGCTGAATTGTTGAGGGGTTGTGTTCAGCATGACCTTGTATTCTTTTGAGTGTCGTTATAGTGTACTGGCATGAGCGCTACGAGGAACAGAAAAGCCATCTGCTTCCATTTTTATGCTTGTAAAATATCAGCCAATGATTTCCTATTTTTTATACGACCTGCTTCAAACAGAGCTTTGCTCCTCCTGCCACAGGCTCAACCCATGTCAAACAGTAAGCAAGGGATCCTATCATCAGGAAGGGGGGTATATGTAACCTTCCTCAATGTGAAAATGCCAGTGAGTAAAGGGCAATGTTTGCAATGCTTTCGCTGAAGCGGCAAGTTGGAGTGAACGACCCATCATTGAACATTCGTCTTCAGCTCCTTGTTGGTGAAGGGTCATGCTTGGGATCTCCAAGACTCCAACCACTTCGGGAAAAAAATGTATCCGCTTCTGTATGGGTGAAAGGACTGTAAGTGTCTGCACAAGTTTTGGTAACATTTTATTGTATTGCAACCATAGTTCGTAGTATCCCACTCCAGATTCATTGATGTGCGCTGCATGAAGTGGGGTATTTGTCGGAGGGTCTGGTTCACTTCATTTCTATCATACGAATGTCCATCACCACAATTGATGACGTAAAACAACAACAACAACAACAACAACGGAGGAAAGGCGCAAGGAGAAGGAGAGAAGATGTATGGATTTCGTCAAGCATACAAACAAGCATCCTGGAGCAAGGTTATTAAACCAACTTCCAAACAGGAAAAAACAAAAGAAACAAGAGCTGGTTTTTTTTTTTTCCCTCTCAAAGTTGGCTTCAGCAATCTTGTTGCAGGATCTCTCTCTCTCTCTCTCTCTCTCTCTCTCTCTCTCTCTCTCTCTCTCTCTCTCTCTCTCTCTCKATAATATATATAATATATACATATTGTCAAACAGAACTGTCCCGTATATATATAGAGATATGTATATACAAATATCACAACACACGCATCCATGATGGTGTATCTGCATGATCACCCTCGTGCCCGTGCCATAGAGGGTCGGCCAGCAGTGTGCGTCGACCTGTGCACAGGGTTAGAGATTTTACACTCTTTTGTACCCTCTCTCTCTCTCTCTCTCTCTCTCTCTCTCTCTCTCTCTCTCTCTCTCTCTCTCTCTCTCTCTCTCTTGCGCACGCTCGCGTGAGCGGGCGGGCGTGTGCACACCCGACATGGAAGTGCGAGAGTGCATACGTGGGTACACCACATTGCATGAGAGTTAAGGTGAGAGTGTATGTAAAAGAGAGAGGGTTCAACTGGTTGTGCCAAACTGAACAGAAAAAATACCCTAGCACATGACTTTGGCCACATGCAATATAGTGGTTAATTGAAGAGTAACTCGCTAATGAGGATGAGTGATTGAAGAACCTATGATGGTAAGATCATGTTGTTAACCAACCAACTAATCGATGAAAAAACTAACTAACTTTACTTACATTGACATCTTGAAGAAGGGGTAAGAGTGAGGCGGTGAGCTTACTTACAACTTATATGGATATGTACTCTTGTGCCACTTAACTGATTATCCGTTTAATTACTTGATTCATAGTGTCACAGCAAAAAAGCAAGAAATTCCAAATACATCATCTACACGGTGGTAGCAGGCACCCATCAAGGTTCGTTGTGATATATTGGGAGGTGGTTAAATATGGTATCTGCAAGAGGTCCACTTGTCGAACAACTCAAACAGCACAAGCCAAGGTTGAAGGGTCTACAACCCACATGCATGTAGACTATCTCCACTTCGCTTAGATAATTATGAAATAGAAGGAAGATAGGTTTACCTCAAATCATAGGGAGCAAGTAATATGCATGGTGTATACGCCATAAATTACCTTGCAAAGAGAGTGGTGTTCCTACTGAAACTCTAGCAAGGACCACCCAAAGATGGATCATGATTCTGACAAAGGATTTTAAACTGCTCGTACGCGACAATCAAAACTCAAAGGCACGGTGAGGCAAGGAGCGCTATTGAAAAAACAAATCGGCGGCCTATGAAGTGGTGCGGGTTTCATGTTGACACCCGTGGGCCAATGAGTGTTGTACTGGTGCCTTGGCAACATTCTAAATTCGTTAATAGCTAATTAATTTGTATCTTGATGGATACAAAACTATATAGTAAATCAAGTTGTAGCTTCCGATGTTGTAATTTTAAGTCAAATAACGATATGCACCTAGCTGATAACTAAGGAGTTTCACACAAATAAGCCTATACGTACTTGAGATCAAAAGTAGAGGCAAAACTACCCAACTTACAAGTAAAAGTATGTTTACCTCCCAAAATCCTATCGGATTCTAATTTGTAATCGAAATCCTCTCGATGAATTTTTCTAGATGTTTTTACAAATATTTATTCCTTTACTCTCTTATCAAAAGGTTTTTGGGGTAGTACAAGTTCAATCCTGACCTCCTACAACTCCCCGTTATTATTAAACAATGATTTTTAACAAGGGGGACAATGAACTTAAAATCAACTAGTCAACGAACTGCAACGTTAAGAATGGGGTGAAACAATTATTCATAATACATGCACTTCACATAAAGACTACCTTTTAAAATCTTTTGCATTAACTAGAGGAATGAGATAAAAAACTAATGAAAAATATATTTGATTAAAAAAAAAAAAAAAACATTCAATAACCTACAAATAGTTCGAGATCATATGAAGGAATGTATCAACCAAATGTGGTAAACTAAAGCCTACGAATCCAAACGAAAATCCAAATGACCAGATGCCCCCCCCCCCCCCCCATTAAATAAGGGCAAATATAAAACAAGATAAAATTGAGTATTTGCCACGAGACATATTGAGCATAACCAATCAGAAATTATTAATGCATATATAAATAGTAAAATATATTTTGCAATACTATCAAATTATTTTTGTATATGAGATTCTGCTATGAGAAAACGGGTTATCCTCAATCTGCGAAATATATTTTCTTAAGCTCTCTCTGCACTAGTTTCATAGCAACAAAGGGAAAAATTAGGATGTCCTCCTTAAACTACATACATTTAAGCAACTTTTGATAACATTGAGGATAATTAAGCCTTCATCTGAAGAAAAAAATCCAAATAATTTTAACTTTACTTTTAAAATAAAAAAACAGAATAAACTTTTGGGGGTTTCATGGGACAAGGTGTGATAATGTTATTATACAAGAAAAAAAACAAGAATTAGATAATAAATTATTATTTGATTACCGTTTTTCCCTTACCTTATGAAATGGTGGTTAAAACCCCTTATTACTTACGAACAAATGACCATACATGCAAAGCAAGTAAACTTTATGCCTGAAATAAAATTTTTAAATATATATAAATAAAATAATCATATATACACGCAAACTTATTATAGAGATAATTTTTATTTATAGATTTTGAAACTTGTAACCGTATGTATTTGATATATTTATAGCAAGAATCAACTTTGACCCTACATTTAGCCAACATTTTGGTATTCTAAAGGGTTTGTATGCACTAATTGTATAAATTTACTTGTCTTAAAAACATTGTCGCAATGACATGTCCAAAATAAATCATTTTTAAACCAATTAGGCTAGGCCACCAGAGTGGTCCGAGACCACTTGCCCCCCCGAGCAAACAAATAAAAAATAAAATAATAATCAATATTGTTAAACTTTATTTTTTATTTTAAATTTGGTAAATAATTTTAATGTGAAACTGAGGCAAAAGTTGTTCAGTTTATTTTTATACATAACATAGTTTTTTTTTGTTTTTTTTTTTTTGCTAAGGCTTTCCTTGGTCCTTGCATGGTCGGGCCGTTAGGGAACTGCTCACTGGTACTCTGCAAGGTTTGTGGTGGGATTCTTGGTATTATGGTGGTAGTCGTTTGGTGAGGTTTGAACTCTTGACCTTGTTGGTGAAACTGCTTACTGGTACTCTGCTGATAATATTCTGTTTCCCGTAGTCGTGCGGAGGGTTGAACTCTTGACCTCGGTGGTGGTAAATGTTTTGTAGCTCACGTTTGAGATATTTGGAGTTATGATTTTCGAGGTCGTTTTCGGTTATAGGTGAGTTACGAACTTGGTCTCTCTGTGACAGGTGATTCTTTTCTGTTTGAGGTGGGGTTTTTGGTATTCGGATGGTAGTTATTCTTTGAGGTTTGAACTCTCGACTTTGTTGGCGAAATCGCTCACTATTTCTTTGCTGATGATATTTTTGTGTCCCGTAGTCGTGTGGAGGGTTGAACTCTTGACCTCGGTGGTGGTAAATGTTTCGTAGCCCACGGTTGAGATTTTTTTTTGTTGATTCTTGATGTTTTTTGTGGTTATAGGGGAGATACGTACTTGGTCTCTCTGCTACGAGAGATTCTTTGGACCGATTCCTTTTTGGTACGGGTCGATATTCTGCGTTGAACTATTTTGTGATCGGCTATCCTGTTTTCATATTTTTTTTATCTAGACATAGGGTAGACTAGGTTAATTCTTTCTTCTTGTGGACGTTACTAGAGATTCTTTGCAGCTACATTGTTCGGTTGATATGTTCTGCCGATGTGTTCCTTCCTTGTTCTTTAGATATATATAGAGTCATAGGCAGCTATTCTTCAGCCGACTATGACCCCTGATGAGCCTAGTGGGCGGCTAGGCGAAACCGGTCGGGTCTCAACGCCGTTTGGAACTTCGTTTCCATTTCTGTTCTTCACGATTATATTTTTTCGTAAATCAGTCG